ATTAATGTAATAAGATATTTTTTACCCCAATCAAAATTCTAAAAAAGGGGATATTCGACCCACGCTACTATAAACATATAATGCCTACATATAACCTGGAAACTAAATAATTTTATTCCAGTCTAGCCACTCTGATTGCCGGCAATTCAAAAACATACGCACGTGTGTATGTAGTTACTAAGATAAATACCCGAAGTACGACATGCCGGCTAACACAAATACTTAAGTACCCTGAAGGCACAAGATAAAAGTATCCAATGTAAAAAAAGTGCACGTTGTTTGCATGCGAAATAAATCGGTCACACATCCTTCTAACACGGAACAAGTGAATTATTGCGCTCCACACTCCAGCACGTGAGTTCGAGCGCAAAAAACTACGACCACTTACCTTACTGACTAACAACTGACAGAGCTAAACGGCTGAAGCAAACAAAAAATAAGACGGGTGGTGCAAGAGAAACAAAAAAAAATGCATGGCAGCAGGGGCTTTGGAAGGAATAAAAGTATGTTGGTGGAAAAAAATGATGGCAGCACGCTTGTAAATCGCAACTTAAGTTTAGCACACAAAAAAAAAAAAAAAAAATTACCGCTACAATAACAATAAACACTCTAAACATACTAACTCACACGGCAACGAGTGACTTGTTGTGATGGCATGGCGAGAGCGAATATAGGCAGAAAAAGTTTTGTAGAGCGCAAACACGAGCAAAGTAACAACATTTCTCCACACACAACCAGGCGAGGACTTTGAGAGATACCACTAACAAACCACTAAGCGTTTTACTCTTTACGCCATGACTTATAGCGCCTTTTTTTTGGCCTATTTTGTGCAGCTACGAGCACTCACTCAGCATGGAGTTCGGAGCGTAGCTTTGAGATGTGGAAGTTGGCTTTTGAAGCATGCAGTGGTCGTTAAGTATGTAAGTGGTAAATAAATGCGTTTACTTTTCACAGTCAGCGCGTATAAGCTGTTGGAGCTGATCCCATCAGATTTACAGCAAGCAAGGCTCCTTGAGGTAGAAGTGGAAGATAGTAGAATCAAGCAGACTTGCTAAAGCCAAAAAAGCGTGCAAAGATTCTTTCTGTTTGTATGTCGGAGTTGCAAAATGTACTTGAACTGGCAAAAAACTTGAATTTCTGTACCGTGTGTGCACGTTTGTAAGTGTGTATGTATGTATATGCTTTTTTGCGTCAACCGCCTCAAGTGTTGCCACGTCTGCAACACCTTCGCCCCAGATTTGTTGGTTTTTGGTTGTATTTTTTTCTTTCGTGCATATTTTCCCACATCTGCGTATTTATGTTGTCACATAAACATATTATGCACATAGTACCTCAGCTCATCCACTTCCATATACATATTTTTGTCTGCATACTTTCCCTATAGAATATGGCGCATATGAATACAAAAGCTTCTGTTGTACGTATGCTAGTACGCGTTAATTCGTTGAACTTACAAATTTACACACTTACGTGCTTGCAAACACACACACAATATAGATATATTTGTGCGCACATGTGGCAGTCCTTCAAGTTCATATGTAAATATTATCGCCGCGAGCACGTTTACTTTTCTCACGCGGCAAATTGTCAAAAGGATGAAGTTAACACTGGATGCGGTTGTAAAACTGGTGCGCCATTATGTTGCCAGATGGTTGCAATTTGTTAGCAACGCAGGCAGCATTTGTCGTTAAGAAGCACATAATATAACTTTTGAATTTTGGGAGGATAACAGGCAACAGAAAGGGCTTTGGGTTAGATACCAGGGTTGGAAATGTACGGGTGTTCCCACTCCGTGCTAAAATAAATGTTTGTGGTCAAAATGAAGTCTCCTCACTGTGATGCCTTGGTACACAGAATGGTCGCGGTTCTAGACTTTCCAATGCTGATGATGATTAAAGATATCGCCCTTTACGAGGCTAAATCTTGAAAAGGTTTCGAAAGCTGCGTTTACAATTTGCTTTTCAGAGCCATAGTTTTCGACTCTTGGCTGCAACAACCAGTGGAACTCTGTTGGACCTCGGATGGGATTCAAGCGAACGAGGTCGTCGAGATCAGACTCTCCGTTTGACCTTGTAGGGCTGGAACTATTCCGCGGACAAGCACCAGTTTGCCCACAGAGCATCTAAGCGGTTATAACCATTTGCGCTGTAAAACCTACTGGATTGGTTTGGCCACGGAATGCTGTCTTTGTCTGGAAGCCGGAATTACGTCGGAATACATTCTGTGATTCTCCAGAATTGATCAAACTTACGCTGCAAGTTTTTTAGACCACAGTGGAATCCTTTCTTATTATTAGGTATTTCTCTATCAGATACTGTTAGCATTTAATAGGGTGGGTAATAGTACCTTGAGATGTCAGGGTTAGGGTTTATTCGCATAATAAAGATCTGCTAGGTCGATTTTAATTGATTTAATTTGCTTTGACTTGATTTGATTAAATTGATTTGATTTGATTTGATTTGGTTGGATTTTATTTATTTTATTTTATTTTACTTTATTTTAATTCATTTTACTTTATTTAATTTATTTTAACTTAATTTAATTTAATTTAATTTCATTTTACTGCCTTGGTTTTGTTCAGTTCACGTTATCGCGAGTGTACTGTATTTTTTTCTAAATTTTGTTTAATTTAAGTATATATGTAGAGCTTATGTATCTATATTTTTGATTTGGAGATATTTTTTTTAGTATTTTCTTCCTTTTTGCAACTTTGTTGTCTACAAAATTATGTGGGAACTCTAAAACTGCGCCCGCATATACATATTTTATATGTGTTCCCGTGCTTTTAAATGCCGTGCATTCCGTGCAGTGCTATGAATAGCAGCGACTGCCGTTCCCTCATTTATACATATCCGCGCATTTAAGCATTTCCACTTTTATATGCAAATACACATATGTATGTATGTATGTATTTATATACTAATGTACATAAATACATATGCCAACTCATTCGCCAGGGATATCCGCGCTTGTTTGCATGCGAATGCGAATACTTCATATACATAATTTTTTTTCTTTCTTTTAAACCAACAAATGGCAAACAAAAGCGGCAACACTTTTGCACCTCTGCGGATTGACAAGTGTTGTCTTTTGTTTGCGTATAATTGAAATTATGATGTGCATTTTCAATGCCTTTCACACATTAGTAGATAAATAAATGAATGAATGAATGGAAGCAGGAAAGTAAAGGAGTGGAGAAAAAAAATGTAATAAATGACACGCTGAATAAATAGCACTTGCAGTGATTGTGAAGAAATAACTTGCATGAGGTATGTGGAAGATATGTGCATACATACATACATACACACTTACTTACGTATGTATGTATGTCCATAAGCAAATACATGTATAAGTAGTTGTTGTAAGTTTGATTTGGATATGACTTTCATGAGTTTTTTTCTGGGAAAGAGAACTGCATATAATTTAAAACTTCTTTAATTAGCTATCAGTAATAAATAATGTATGTAAGTATATAAAACGAGCTTACTCACACTTCGCAACGGATCTTTTTTGATGTAATCGGCCCTATTATGGTTGTCGACTTATACGTCAAAGTAATTTGTTCATCAAAAACTCGTAGAAATACTGTGGTCAGCGTAGCTGGAGTTGGACTTACTAGTCCTATTTTTTTGATGGAAAAATTACAATTCGCAAGCCTTCAGCCAAGTACCCTCGGAACAGTAAAACGTGTGGTGTAAAGATATGCTTTCGAGAGTAAGGTTAGAATTTATATGAGCCGAGTGGCAAAATGCACATAGCAGCTCTTCTATCCATCCAACATATCTGGCCGAGGAGACGGCAAAACAGGTCGGGCACCCTAATTTAGCAGCAACGCCCTCAACTCAGGCTGGTTCTTGGAATTATCACTAGTCATGGGCTAAAGGGAATTTAAGTGAGAATACTGGGCCTTCAAGAATCGACTTCGGTCGAAGCCGCCTTCGCCTCGGCAAATCGAAAGCATCGAGCACTTTCTCTGCCACTGTCCGGTATTGGCAGGACTCATCCAACACTTTTCTAGTGTATTTCGGACTCAAGTTTGGCAAGGAATCTGAGATCTTCACCCTTCTACAATTAACATTACTTAGTTCTGTTTTAAGGCGCGCTGTCGAGTTAAGGCGGTATCTCAACGGTTCCAAACTGGTCTCCATCAGAATCTATTTGTAGACAGGCACCAAACCTAACCTCACCTAATATCGGCTTCAAAATATGTTCTACCACTTTGATGAGGCCATTTTTTGGGGGAATTTTGTCTGAAGTAGAGTACGGCTATCAGATTATATTTTTATGCTGAAACATTTCATGGAACTGAAATTGCTTAACTACCAAGGTTACTTAATTATGAAAATAGCAATTGATTATTTAATAAAGCCATATTAATCTCTTTTTTTAATTTTCCAAACTAAAATTAAGCTTGTATATTAATAGCTCGCATCACTTAAAACTGTCAATCTTGGTTAATTGTCGAATGATAATAAAATTATTAAAATCAAAACAAAAAATGTGACGATGCCTGGAACACACTCGATGCATACAAACTTCAAAAGAAAATCATCTCCCCCAGCCATTGAGAACGCCACTCTGGCTGAACGTGCCGACAATCGAGTAAAATAACTGACAGCTGCAATAGCAACAACGACGATCACATTGACAGCTGCTGCAGCTTGAATGCCACCAATACGGCTGCTGTCAGCTGTTAGCTTTTCTAATTGATGTGCTTTTAATTGTGTCAAATCGACGGCAAGCGCACGAAACGAAACGGCATCGAACACGCACAACAATTTTCTATGTGCAATTGACACTTCATTGACAGGTCGTGTACTACAAATGAGCGAACGTTTAACTCTCGTCGTGATAACTGTGTACGTACAAATTGAAATGCGAGTGATATGCAAAGTTGTTGTGCAATTTCGTTGTTGTACCATGGGGGCACACATACAAGTTGTATTCGAAGGGCAGAATGTAATTGTTTTTAAATTTCTTTTTCGCTTCACTTCACTTACCGGCATTTGTACTGGCAAGGCCACTGCACAGCAGACAAATTAGCATGGCTATGGAGTTGAGCCACAGCCGGCTGTGTCGACTATTGTTGAACATTCTCGTGCAGTGCGGGAATTGGTTACTTAGGGCCTGCTGACGCCGCGCGTGCTGCATGCTGGAGGAACGCCTGTAAGGAATGGAGAGAATGAAAGGAAATGCGGATTAGAAGGATTTTAGAATAACCAAACGTAGGCGTACTTAAAAACAGCTGTAAGATATTTATTTGAAATTAATTTTATTTATGCTGCATGGTGTTTTACTTTCAGTTGAATGCCTTGCAAAAGATTTTGCCTTCCAAAGAAAACGAAGAGTTGAAATTATCCAACTGACCTCGAAACCAAATGCAACGCAATCAAAAGAGAGACTGTAGCTAATAAAATTTTAACCTCTTTTTACCGGCACGTATGCATAGCATATCAGCTCACATACATACATATGAGTACATATGTACGTATGTATATACGCTTATGCGAAGTCTTTTCGTTAGCAGTTGGCAGTTGGCAACAAACATATTGAACTTTCTGCAGCGAACTATGTATAAAACAAACCAAAAAGCCAACAGCTGGAGCAGCATGAAAAAATAAAACAAATAAAAAGAAAAAATTTAAAAACCAACAAAGAAACGTCAAACAAATTTGCAAGGCAAACAAAGAAACCGCCGCAGAAAAAACTCAAGCACGCAAAAAGTCTTCAAGTCTCAACTAACATTGTTTGCACAGGTTGTCACTGTCTCGTCTACTAGTCAGCGCTTGCGTAATTCACTTTCTTTGCAAATTAAAGTACAACATTGCTTGCCGTAGCTGAAAAAACATAACCACAAGAAGTCGAAAAAGTCAAATAAAGTACAGGCAAATGCTCGCATACATTGGGTATCTATGGCGCTACCCACCAGTGATGGAAAAGTAGGCACAACAGTAGTGCCATTTTTGGCACTTTCACTCAGTTTTGGTACAATCATATATTATACAAATTTAGCCAGTATATAACAAACAATCACATATTACTCATAGATTAGAAAAGCGAAAATTAAAATCACCTAAAAGTTAAAATAAGCGTCATTATATAAAATTAATAACAATTATTCAATGTAAAGAAGAAAAGTCAAAACTGGTCAAAATGTCACACTGCTATTATTTCGCACATAGGTATTTATGTATGTGTGTAAACATTTCCGAGTAGCTATATTTCAGTGCTTTTGCCCTTCTTTTACTCTAATAGTTCAATGAAATACATTAAAAATAAGATTTCTAAAAATACATACTTATGTGGTTCTTAAAAAAGCTTTAAAAGAAAGCACTTTCAATTTTGTGGCACTTTCATCTTCCTTTTGGCACTATTTTTGCAGTCCAAGTAGGCACAGTTTTAAATTTTGGAATTCCATCCCTGCTACCCACAGACAATGACGGCTATGTTCGCAAAAGAAGACTTCAACCGCACGTGGAATCCGCGCAAAGAAGAGAAGAGGCGTAAAAAAACGCGGACAAACAAAAGTAGACACAGACATGCTAATAAGTGGCGGAAAACGAAGGTGTGCAAAATGTGCACATTTTGAGAGCGAAAAAGTAATTAGGTATTTAAAAAGCAAAATCATGTTAAAGTGACTTAAATAAATAAACGAAAGTCAAGTTTTTAACTAAAAAGAAGTCTGTGGCATCAAAAACAAAGAAATGGTGTTGGAGGCGAATATGACAAACAAGGCAATACTTTAAATTATACGAATAATTCGAAAGCACTTAAGTTTTATACTTTCGCTAGAAGGAGACAACCGGACGAGCATAATGGTCAACGCTTTGTAATGAGGTGAACAGCCTAAAACCATTAAAACATGCCACCTTTTCAGAAACGATCTCCCCCTATCATGAATAGCCGTTATGGTGTAAAACTATGCCCATCTTTTTTAAACTCAAAAATTCTATGACCAAGATAGTTGTTTTCGAGAAGAAATATAATAGGTCTGTATCAAAGCTACGTGAAGTATTTGCTTTTGAGTATCTACTGTGGTCGTAAAGCCCCCATAAGAAATGGCGACAGGCAGCTACCGCCCCAGGGTTTGGCTTTCTGTGCTTATGGGGAAATTATTTCGCATTTTTCGAGCGGAAGTCTGTGCCAGTAGCCTTTGCGCAGTAATTAACCAACGTAGGTACGAATTACAGTAATGAAAGCACTGCCATCCTTAGAGACAGTCAGGCTGCAACAAAGGCCCTTTTATTCATAGAGGTTAAGTCTTCTATAGTATAAAATAGAGGAGCAGGAAGTAAAGGATGGTTTAGCGAGAAAGACAGCGGATTTCCGGAAAGGATAGAGAAATGAGAGAATTTATCCGGCATTGTACCAAAGGCTTTCGCCTAGCTATTGGGAGGAAGAGTAAGTCAGGCTTATAACAGGCCTTCTTACAGGGCACTGCAAATTAAGAAGCCAACTACATAAATTGTGGATCTAGTCAAATGATCTCGGTGGTCAAAGAAACACCTATTCCTTTAGTGTCAACCATTTCAAGAAGGCTAAACAGTGAGACCTCCCGGGACTTCAAATTTTTGGAAAAATTTAGAATTAGACGAAGCGGTGTACTTAGATCTTTTCAACTGAATCTGCATTGACACAGCAAATGCTGAAGGGGTTCTAATTCTTTCTGATTTTTTAGATTTTACAGAAGTTTGTGTTGCAAGAAGAACTTTACCGCCATATAACTAGGAGTCCAGCGCTCTGTGTGTAATCCAGCGTATGTATGGTTTGATGAGCCTAAACATTCTCCGTTTACTTCGTTTCTCGATTTTCTCTTTTACTGTTCATAGGTGCTTTGGCCTTCTCCTTAACTTGTGAGTCCTTTCTTCAGAAAAATTTTAAGTTGTCTACTGCCGACTTAAGGCATCGTAGATTCGAGGGAACAAAACCGCAAGTCGGAAATAATAAAATTATAGTTTTGGTTCCAATATATTAAATATCTATGTATATTCATTTATAATATTGATTTCTTTTTAAGCTTTTCTACGATAAGTTGAGGGAAAAGGCATATCAACTACCTGACGGTAGAGATCAGTGTCGCTAAGGGTAACAATTTAAAAGCGCAGGAAAAAGGAGGCATACGCATTTAAGACAACAGCGGACTGCATGACTAATACAGGAGCTTTTAGAAGCTATTCTTTGCCTCAGAACTGAGTTGCAAATATTATTGAAGGTAGCCATCTTTTTCTAAATTACACCCACGGTAAATCCCAATTACCAAACAAATGTTTCAGAGACACCACCAGATTATCCGGTTCTCACATTACCACCTACGCTATGAAATGGAGAAGAAAGGTTCCCTCTTTTTCCAATAACCAAAAAAGGTCAACCAGATATTAAAAGCGTGATTGAAATGTAGACAATTGGTCTAAGGTGAGGGCAATATTTAAAATATCCCGAAAATGCGACAAAAAATTACGCAAGAACAGTTAAGAAAAAGTCTTAAATAAGCAGAAAGTGTTGCGTGTAGTTAAAAATGACAAAACTCTCCGCTCTTGCAAAAAGGAACAGTCCAGCGCCTTCGTCTTGGTCTGCAGGCTGTATCGGAGATACAGCCGCTATATTTAAACGTAGAATACGTGGTATGGTTAAGAGCATATCCAAGTCAAAAACGAAATCACACACTAAGAATAGAAACAGATCCACATTAACTGCAATCAACATATGTACGTATGTATGTATTTACATATGTGCACACGCTGCGATTAGGTTATAAATAGCGCGCCTCTGTTTATCAAAAGCCGCATTACGTACGCATACATACTTTTTGTCTCCTTCCCACACTTCCAACATATGCACGTGTTTGCAAAATGATGACGAGGTGATTTTGTATGGAAAATCATTTATGCCCATATATTTGAATAAAATAAACATATATAGAAGATATCAACCAATACTTCCCATATACCAAACGAAAGGAAAACTCTTGAATTTTTGATTAAAGAAAACAAAAACAAAATCATTCGAGCGGTTTTCGAGCATTTTGGTAATGAAAAAAATTTGCACAATTTTTTGCCTTAAAATGCTCAATATTTGTTAAATTTATATAAAATTTGAACCCGATAATATTTCTACTGCTCCAAAGAACCTATATCCCGAAAATGAAAGTTATATATGCCAACAATAAGTTGCTAGAGCAGTTTAAAGGCTCAAAATTGACCCCAAAATAAGGCAATGTTTACCGTTG